CGCGCGCAGCCGCGCACGAGCGCGCCACTCGCAACGCCATCCTGGACAAAGGATCACCGGTCGGGTGCCAACGTGTCCTGGCTCATCCTTGATTTATAAAAAAACAAAAAAAGAAAAAAAGGAAAGAGAGTAAGAAAGAAAGAAAGAAAAATGGAGAGGGAGGAAAAAAAAAAAGAAAGAAGAAAAGGCGGAAGAATGAGTTGGCGCTTTGGCGTCTTTTCGATGAAGATCGATCTGGTTTGAAAGCTCTTCCGAGCCGCTTACTCTTTTCAACGGGTTCTCCGTGGAATTTCAGATTCGTATCGCGCGCAAACAGCTTCAAAGATCGAAGAACCCCCCTCTCCCTTCCTTCCTCTGGATGAAAAGCAGGAGAGGGGGAAGAGCGATATCGTTGCGTGTTGAGCGATCGAAAAGGACGGAGTATGTAACTATATATACTATGTACCGCGCGACGAAAATGGTAGAATTAATCGTTCGAATCGCTGAGGTATCGTCGATTGTCTGGTATTTAATTAATGCGGATAAAAGCTGCAATTAATGTTTCTTGCGTAGTCATAGAAAATAATTAATTTCTAAGCGAGTTCGAATCATACTTTATTATCGTTCGTTTGAAGCTTGTCTTTATAGTTGTCTTCTTCGAATTAAAAAAAAAAAAAGAGAAAAAAGTTAAAATGAATAAGATCGTTTGTAAATTAAATGGGAAAATTTCTTGTTTTATTCAAGTATAAAGAAAAAGATAATCGATTGACGATTTGAATAACGTTGTAATAAAAAAGTTTATCATATAGTCTTTCTTATCTATCGTGTACTTTATTTTAATTATATTCATAGGTGTGAGAACTTCAACTCTTTTGAATGTATGATTAATTTTATTAAAATTATTTTAATGAAAAAGTAGTATCATTAGTAATATTATCGCATATTGATTTCATTTATTTTTAAACAATCTCGATTCTCTTTTTTCATTTTTCTATATTTTGTCATTCGCGTTTAATTAATAATTTTCGCGTAATATTAAACACAAACAATCGATTTTGTAAAAAATATTATATAGAAATACATATGCGAAATAGTTTCTGATCGAACTCTTTTTCGATTTGTTTCAGGTCTTCAGCCTGCCAGCACCAAAGCGCAACCTACCACGATCAGCAAATCTCATAGACCCAGTTCTGGCGTGTTACCTCAGGGTCATACCCCTGGTCCTGGTCCAGGTGGCCAACAAAATAGCAGAAGTTTTGCCGCCGCTCTGAGAAACCTGGCTAAACAGGCAGGGCCGGCACCTCAGGAAGAAGAACCTCGTGCGAGTCCCAAAAATCGAGCCCCACCTCCTCTGGTTAGAGGTCCTTCCCCTGCCAAGGTGAGTAATCGCCATTACCGACCGATCTCCTTACCTCTTCTATCTTTTTCTTTTCCTTCTTCCTTTCGCTCTTCTTCAAATTCATCAAACCTGTTTCGGTCAACAAAAACATAACGGGAGTCTCCTTCCTTTTTTTCCGTTTCTCATTCAAAGTATCAGTCGATAACGGCATCGACAACGTTATCGACGGCCGATAAAAAGAAACGACCGTAAAACAAGGAAACGTGAATTTTTTTAGGAACGATCCACGCACGAGAGAAGACCAGAAGAAATTCCCTCGTTATACACGACTGCGAGACCCGCGGATACCAGCAAACATAGCGTGACTGCCGCCGCTTCCGAATTGCTGGCCCGATCCGGTTTTCAACCGTACCGGCCTGAGCATCATCCGGCCCACGCTCCACCGGCTTTCGCCCTCGATCCCGCGGCCTACAATCCTTATCACCACGGTCTCTACCCACCGCCACACCTTCAACACGCTTATAGGTAACGTATCATATAATCGTTCATTTTCGCGAATGCTCTTCTTTCATCGAATAATAAACATCTCGTTCTCGATCACCAGATTAGAGGAACAGTTGTATTTGGAACGGTGTGGAATGCTGAGACCGCCATTATTTCCTGGGTTACCTTCGTATCCTCTGTACGGACTAAGATATAGTCCGGACATGTTACCGCCCGCGTCCCTCGGACTCATGTCTCCCGTGATGCACGAGAGGTAAGGGAAACTCTTGATGCTTCATTCGATGAATATTGTCGATCACTTGATCTCGAAAATCTTTGATTGAAAGAAACTTTTTTTCTCTCTCTCTCTCTCTCTCTTATTTTTTTTTTATTAATCGTGCCACAATTCTCGTTTCAGACTGAAACTGGAGGAGGAGCATCGGCTGAGGCAAGCACGGGAACAAGCCGCGCTGCGCGAGGAGGAGGAGAGGAGAAGAGCGGCACGAAATTCCGCTCCTGCCGCCCCGGTACCCGCGCCTGCACCTGCATCCGCCGATACTGCAGGTGAGCGAGTCGCTCCACCCCCCACTGCCTTTCATTAAAAAGAAATCATCGATTACGAGCGATTACGACACTTCTTCTGTTCCGTCGCTTCTCTTATGCGCGGAAATAACCTTATTTCTCTTCTTTTTCTTTTCGTCTTTTTTATT